TGCGGCAGATGGCAGAACCCACTTAGAGCAGGCAGGTTTTTGGGGGCTTCAGGGGTGTCCTGGAATAGATTTGGTGTCCTATAACAGATTCTGTCCTCTTAGCAGATTTGGGGTGCCCTATAACACTTCCATGAGAGGACAGAGGGGACATTTTCACCGAGACAAAAGCTCATGAGGCCCAGAGGCGGCCTGGGAGTGATGTGTTTACAAGTCCAGAACCACCAGGAGGGCTGAGTCTCCAGAAGCGGGGGAGGCACAGGCCAGAGTCCTGCCCACACCCCGACTTCAGACTTCTGACCCAGCGCGTGAGGGGCTGATTCTATTGTCCTAAGCCGCCTGACTGTGGTTTTCGGTCCACAGTCCCTGGAAGCCGGCTAATATCAGCGGCCTCTGCGCCAACTTCCTTCTGACCGAGAAGCTGGTAAAGCGGCGTCCAAAGTCTGGATCCAGGGCCGTGCCGCCAGCGATCTGTATCAGGTTTCAAATGCACCTTCAGTGACTTTTGTTTTTCTCACAAAAAATCAGAACAAACAGGGAAAGGAAAGGACTGGCCGGGAAGCCCCAAGTAGGTAACCCACAAAGCCCAGTTCAGGGCCGGCGGGTGGAAAAGCAGCGTGGAGAGACCCCTGTGTTGATGGGCCACCGAGCACCAGCTGGACTGCTCCGGGAGAGGGCTCAGCACATCCGGTCCAAGAACAGTCGACCAGCCAAGTGTGGAACTGTGACCAGCCACACCGGGCCTTCTAAGAGGAGGCTGGGTCGAAATGGATGGCTGGGAGATGGAGACCTGATAGTCTTTATTACGACGGGGGAAATATGTTGAGAGAGACGATCTGGCCCTCCCTGGTGGCGCAACAGGTTAAAGTGCAGCACTATGAAGCTCTCTGTAGCCTCTGCAGCATGAGTTCCATCCCCGGCCAGGGAGCTGACACCACGGCACAGCAGCCCTCTCCTGACCTGCCCGCTGCTCCCCTCAGCAGTGTGTTTCAGTCAGTCAGTCTGTTCTGCTCCCCACTGTGTCTCTGGTGAGTCCTCTCACCCCCTGCACCTCTGGCCTGTAGCAGAGGTACACATAAATAAATAAATCTTAAAAAAAGAAAAGAAAAGAAAAGAAACGATCTGGACTTAGGAGATTTTTCTAGACAGTCTAAAAGTTATCGAAAGGAGGCAAAAATAACTTTCATGCTATGTAATCAGTGGCCATGCAGAAAAAAAGAGTTATCCAGTGTATCTGACAAAGTGGAATAATCCTGCCCCAAACAAACTCTCAAGGACAGTATTACTTCTTTTTGAATAATAAAAAAAAAATTAATGAAGAAAAGCTCCCTCACGAACCATGCCATCCACAAAGGGTAGAACCCAGCCCAAGATACTATCTGTAGAGGAAGTCCAGACCCCAATTCCTGTGAGCTTCAGCTCTCACTATGAACCCCAGTGGGTGACTTCTGGGTCTCTCATCTTGAAGGAGAAGAAAAAGAAAACACTGGAAGTAGCTGTATCCACCTCCTCTGCTGAAGGGGATGACCTGGGAGAAGGACTTGCGGGAAGTCTGTGTGCACACCGGGGTCAGGTAAAGATTCTGGTTTGTGACGTGGAGACATCTCCAACACATGAAGCAACAGCAGGTTATCGGGGCACCAGACAAGACTGCTTTGCACACAAGCGCCTTTATCAGGACAAGGGAGCCCCGAAATCGCTTCCACTCAAGCCCTGGCATCTTTCCTGATGCACAGTGTCTCCGGTCTGCCGGCCACCCAGCTAAGCCACGTGATCCCTCCCCCAGAAGCTCTGCAGGTGCACACACAGAACCTTCTGGACCAGGCCTGCTAATGACACATCACGAGACCTTAGCGGAGACCCCCCAGAATGGCTGGACAATGGTGGGGACACAGACGAGGCCCTGGGACAGGGCACCTGGAGGAGGTTCCAGAACTCAGTAAAGTGGGGAACAAGCAGGACTGAAGTTCGTCGATAAACAAAAAGCTTTCGACCAGCTGTGCCATGACTTTCTCTTCCATGCCTGTTCAAAGGCAAGTTCAGGCCAGG